CCTGTTTCCAGTTCTATTCTGGGGAATTCATAATCAACAAAACAATTTGCGTTGATGCTTTTGAAATACCATATTTGTTTTATCTATCTCCTAGCATTGGTTCCACCCTGGGGGGTTTCCCTGTTTCAGTCTTTGGGCGTCACTTACAAGAGCACAGCGATTGTTTTGTTGGAGATCAGAAGGCTTCCCATGCAATGGATCTCTTCGCAAAATGTGGTTTGCTTTGTTCACTCTTCAACAGCAATTGGTGTCATTCCTTTCAGAATCTTCCCGAGAAATCTTCATGCGGAATCGAACAAGCTGCCATTCGAATTCTATGATTCATCATACGTCTCTGCCATCACACCATCTCTAGTTACGACAGAATATCTTGGTACGATAACCCTTTTTGGTACAAAATTTGTCAGTAATCACGATTTCATGATAAATTTCGGGAACACTTCGCAAGTCAGAGGAACTCTGCAAACATCAACCATTGTGACATGCGTCATGCCCAGATCCTTGCTTGCATCCAAATATTTGTTATACATCTCAATTGATGAAAGAATGGCCTCTAATCATAAAGTCTTCACAGTGAAAAACATTTTGCAAATACAGGGTATATCACCTACAATCGGTTTCTCAAATGGGGGCACCATTGTTCGAGTGTTTGGGCACGGTTTTAGTAATAATGGCGTACTATCCTGCAAATTCGGGAATTTTACAACAGTGTTGAATGTGCTTTCTGACAGTGCAGCAGAATGTGCAAGTCCTACGCACAAGAAAGCAGTTGTGATTTTTGTAGTGGTTGCAAGTCAACATCAAATTTCGAATATGCTTCATTTTCAATATGTAGATCCCTTTGTTCTCATCGATGTCCTTCCCATGAACACAATACCTCTGAAACAATATCAATTCACGATGCTTGGAGAAAATTTTTTGAATGCTGAATTGTATTGCAGTTTTAAATTTAGTCAAAGGGTTCGAGCAAAAGTTGTTTCATCGAGTATGTTAATGTGTAATGCAATCGGGCCTATTGAATCATCAGAGGTGACTGTGTTCTTGAACGCGAATGATCGTTCCAATTCAAAGGAGCTTCGTTCAGTACACAATCCAATCATGTCCAGTCTGAAACCTGCATCATATTCAAAACTTCCTTTGACAGTAACAATATCTGGAAAATTTTTCCATCAACATTGTCCTTTTGCAGCTCGCATTCAGTCCCGGCATCATTTTCTTGCTTCCACACTACACTCTTCATCCAAGTGTACGGTTCTGATTCCTCCAAGTTTTGATCGGAATGTCAACGTCAGCATTGTGATTGTTTGTGAAAATATTGAAGTCT